GAATTAATTTATGAGTTCCTGTGCATATTATTTGTATTACTCATGTTGCGCGTGCGCAGAGCGGCTGGCCTCGGCCTGCTGTCGAGGGCCCCGCGACGCGGGCCAATCGGAAGATGGCGCCCTGGCGTTCCCCCCAGCGCCCCCCTGCTCGCCCACCTGCGGCGCGCGCTCCCGCCCGACTTTGAATTCGGCGGCGGCGGCGACGCCCCCGAAGCGTCGTCCTCCTCATCCACCTCCACCTCCACTTCCACCTCTGACGACGACGACGAACTGCATGAGCTTATGGTGATAATGCTATTGAATTGAATGGAATTGAATTTGCCTTACATTTACGTGGCGAGACTAGGGCCATCGGGCCCGCTCTTCCGTCTGACCACGCAAATTTCGCTACGCTCCTTTCATCAACTAGCAGAGAAAGGAGGTATTTCTAGGGCGAGAAATAGGCGATTTGAATTTATCTCAGACGCCACATTTAGGTCAATATTTTACATGCAAGTAAATCTACTAACATGGGACAGCCGGCTTTACTTCCCCTCCGAAGGAAGACGTACAAAGGATTTTCTCACCCTTAAAAATCCACGGCGTCGAACTCGCCAGCAATTTACCAGTATAACAGTCCGGTACGCTAACCGTTACACCAACGCCGCCGCATTACACCAACGCCGCCGCCAATACTATAGCTGAACAACTTAGAAAAGATACCGTCATGGTGACTCAGGTGGCGTAACTAAGCCATCCCGCTCTGCATCTGAAGGGGAGCTCAGCTGAACTCATGGACCGCTGCATCGATAACTGATTCGCTCTTGTTACTTAGTTCTCGCGCTTCAACACTAGGGTTCGGAACGTACGTCTAGGCCACGCTGTCTCTCCCCGCCCGCCCACGCCAGGGCTGCGGCGGTGGCGGCGTCTCCTCCTTAGGCGGGCAAATTGAGCCTCTAACAAAGGGAACCAGGGCCCGGCAACTCTCCATCAAAAGTGGGGACAAACCTAGAGGTTGCTACTACAGGATGCGCTAGTGTCGCCGGATACAGCTGCTGGTAAGGGTCGCCAACTTTCGCACATAAAAATTTGTCAAGGAATACGAATACACTTTGATTATGAGCTATTTCTGAAATAAATCACAAAAGAAGTTAAATACTATGTTTATCTTCTAAAATTCTTTTATTCATAATAATACACACATGAAAGAAAAGGTAGCGCGAACAGCGGCGCGATCTTTTGTATCAAGCGCGTGTTTGCGTTCCGAGAACCCACGCACGATTTAAATAACGTTGGTAGCAGTTCGTATTTTAGTTCGTGTAAGAAGTTGATGCTCTAGAGAGCGCCACTGTAATAGTCCCCACTACGTTATATGGGAGTTATAGGGCCCTGAAGGGAACCTTCCCATCCGCCACTTTTCGCGCATGCGCATTTTTTTCTCTTCTACGTGACCGAGCTAGCTAAGCTAAGCCGGTGCGGTTGGCACATTGGCGCGTGCGCAGTTGTTCCCGGTGGTGGGGGCGGTGGCTCCTCAAGGCGGGAAAGCTGAGCCCTCAGAGTTAACCATGAAAATCGGACAGTTGCCACTTTTATAAGTGCATTCTATTCTTATAAAGCATTTGGATTCATGTGTGAGAAAGTTTTGAAAATGTCTGGGTGGGGTGGGGGGCTTCATATAAAGTACCCCCAAAAATCAAAGAATGATTTTTAAAATCGCGGAGCTTCGCCTCAAACCAAATGGACAGGGTTTATCCAATTTATAAAAAAATCCTTCGCATAGTTTAAGCGCTAGTGTTCACATACCCCAGACAGACAAAAAACGGACGAATGGACAGACAGATGGATGGACGGACGATTAAAAAACACAACAGTTTTTCGGTATCAGGACACCCCACAATGTATTTCCGTTGAAATCTCGAAATCGATTTTCCGCAGCATTACGTAACTTTCCCTATACAATGTATATTTCTACGTATATACATACGTAAGTAGTAAGTAAAAAAATCTATCCGTTTTTGACAACAAAATTAAAATATCCGCTTAAAATTCAAAAGGCATTGAGATCGCCCTGATCGATCGGGAAATGTCAATTTAGGAGAAAATCATCAAAATGGTTAAGGCGCAGGGTGTTGCCGTAAACCAATTTTTCGGCATCAATGATCCACTATATGTTGATTCCATCAGCACTATTAGAGAGAGTAATATACTACATATAGGAACAAGCATTAACCAATTTTGAGGGATAATAGACTCACAGGGTTCTCCTGTCACAAAATCGCAGCAACATTTCAATTTGTTCCTGCAACATTACAATATTTTCTTTATACTACGTAAGTAGTAAACGAGAAAATACAAAATGGCCAATTTCTCCTAGAGAACGCTCGAGCGCCTTCCCTGGGGATTAGAAAATATTTGAAATAATTTTAGAGGCATTACAAGCTCCTAGGAGATATTTTCAAAATTTTGTCAATAATGGCTCCAGATAATTACCATGGATTTCTTACTCAAAAAGAGTTAAATTTACTGATTTAGATATAACAGATCCGATTTTCAGTGATACCTTAATTTTTAATTGTTAAAGGAGGTGAGTTCGACTTTATTTCAGCCTTTTTTCATGAACTGCAGATTTATTTGATAATTCAACAAAGATGATGACTTCTCACACCGGAATAAAATTGCTTTTGTCCAGAAAACTAATTTCTTTCTATTTACTGTCATTATACTTTAAAAAACTATTTTTTTTTCTACTTATCGTTGAGCTGATGTTTAGGTAAATGAGCGATAAATTTAAAAAATGGTTTTCTCGAAAACCTTATGGGAATTTCTAGAATTGATAATATTTATTTGATGCTAATAGACTTATAGTGGTATTTTATTTCTTTAATTTTATTATATTTACACTGTCAATCAATTTTTAATGCGGGAAAACGGCTGTATAGTCTAGTTATAAAATGATTCTTGTTGTATATTAATATTACATATAGACAAGTAAAAATCTATAATGTTAAACGCGCCAGATACTGACTAAAATTGTTCAGTTGGTCTAGCATTCATTTTATGTAAGTAATTAATTTTGGCACACAAAAATGTCACACGTCTACTGTATTTACAACAAAACTAATTTTGATACTCTCTTGCTTCACAGGCGCCACAAACCTTCCCCCGATTATATCTTCTTCAGAATCGCTTGATCTTATTATATTGGTATGTCACACTATATCTTTTCAGCGGTCTACTTTCTCTCTCGCTCTCCTCCGCTGCTCGAAGTATGTAGTCCGCTTATCAACGAGGGCACTTCTTTTCCAGCTTTCTCTTCTTTCTGCAGCTTTTTTATATGATGCTTATATTCACTGTAGTTAGAGACACGTGAGCAATTCCGTATGTCATCATTTTTCCGTTAGGAATTCTTCAGCTTGAGGGTGCTGAAGGGGCTGTTTGAATTCAACGGTATTTTTCAAAGCATGCTTGTGAGCTTTTCACAGACGCTGGAGATTCCGCGTGACGCGGCACACTTGGCCTCTCTGCAGCCGGAAGGATGTGTTCTTCTGTACTCTTTCTTGTGCTGGACGTTTTCGAGCTCGTTCAGACTGCGTTTCGTGGGGATTGGGCAGCGTGTTCTAGCCGCGAACGCAGTCGGGCTTCGTCGAAAGCGCTATCTGCTCGCGTATGGGTCGTGGAAGTCGCGCTGCGCGAGTCTTTGCTGGTCCTCTGCCATGAGCTCCCCTATGTTTAATTTAGTCAAAAAACTTGTAAAAACTGTTAAGAGGTGTGGAACGTATGGGAGA